GTGTATTTTGTTTTAATTTTGGTTGCCCAATCCTGTTTAAATTCTTACTGTCACTCGTGCATCTGTGTAACCGCAAACATTAATGTTCAATCGAAAAAATACAATAGGTCTCGTTAACACAGATCCGACTGATCGATCGCACTCGTTCATTCGAACCGAAGCCACAATTTTTTTACCTGAGACATGGCGACGCCTGAATGTTGGACACAAAAAAAAAACAGAAGGAAACAGACCACTACCTATATTCTAAACAAACTTAGTATTCGACTGAACAGTGTTCGAATTATCCGTGTTTAATTTACTAAGATAAAGAAGAGAAAACAGAGGAGTTAGTCATTGGCAGGAGTAAGTCTTTGACCAGATAAATATTTCCAATAAATTTCGTGTCTAAATTGGCATCAATTAGTCTGTATCACTACTAGAAGTTAGAATGTTTTGACTTTTTATTTATTTTCTTTTTAGCCGTAATAGTAAAATTGTTAAAAATTTAAATTAATTTCTATATCAATCTGCGTGTGATAATAATGTGACCTCACTTGGTTGCATTAAAGTCATTCAGGACAGGAAGTGGTCGTTCCACTCGATAAAATATCAGAGTCTGATATATTCCTACGTCGGGCAACTGTGTGATATTAATGTCGGACAATATTTTAGCTCAGACACACTTATTAATGATAGACTTGTGAACAGACACTCTATCATAAACAAGCGTTATAAAGTGATATATCAGGATTAATGATGTCTGACATGAATTTAAACATATTTTTGAATTTTATGTAAATGTGTAACGTTTTACTTCTAATCGTTTCGTATAGATTTTTATCACCACAGTAAAAAATATGCTTCGGAATTTTGAGAAATCAATATACATGTATTTACACTCTGCGGTGAACTCTTAGTGTAAGCACTGCTGATTCCTACAAGCGTAACTTATTTTTTCCCGAGAAAACTAGTAGAGCACGCGCGATTTGGAGCGAAACGTCCACAGAAATTTGCATGTTTGTTGGATTGGTCAGTAAATAAAAGTTCCAGAGGGGAAGAGGGATTCATATAATAACATTGTAAATAAAACGACGTTAGATTACATAAATGTAGACATACCATATTTACTTGTATTACAAATGACGGCAGTAAATACTTTTCTTTTTCGGCACGAATTTCCCCTAAAATCCAATAAAACTCGGTACAAAACCCCAGGAAAGTAATACAAACATTCTTTTCTACATTTATAAACAAGCCTAGACGTCTCCATCCGTTCTTATATCGAGAAATCTGGATTTTCCGTAACAACAGGTGAGTGACTGTGCAAAACACGGTAAATAATGGATGCCCAATTGTCTGGATTGTCCAAACACAGGAAAATGGTATCCATGGAAACATTATCCTAAAACATCCCTTCTAAATGATCATCAATTAGATACAAGACAAAAGACAAACTACACAAACATCACCTCAGTAGAGCTATTTCAGCGACGAAGATAGATTGTATAACCACATTTAAAACTTTACAACAGACAAACTATAATTTTGATGTTAATATCAGCCTATACGTCAATTACTTGTGCTAAGTCAGTACATCGATATTTCATAAGATAGACGCATGATGTTTATACATAGGTACAAAGCCAAAGCACTCCAGATTAAATGATAGAGTGGAAAAAGGGGCGGGGCGTCATAGGACTGACCGTACCAACCTACTATCTTAACACCAAAAAATGAAAAAAAAATATAGAATAATCAACTTGGAATAGACTTTTAAGGGAAAACAAACGAAAAAAGTAAAACAAAGGTTATTGTTAATATTTTGATGGTCAGCCAGGATTAAGGAAACAACAAGGAGGTTATGGTCATTCCATCCTGACTACATCAAAACTGAACCTCTGCTGTTTAGTCGTCTCCTTGGCTATTTGATTTTATTAATTTGTTTAATGTTTTCTACAACCACGCATATTTGATTTTAAAACAGAGCGGTTGACAATAGACAATAGATTAGTTTGAACGACAAGAACAGTGGATCAGTATTTATAATGGTGATTGTCACCCGAGTCGGGTTAGACAACATTACTTATTGTTCTTAGTAAGAATTATATGTAGTCTTCAATACGTATATTTTGTTTTTGTATCTCTCCCCCCCCCCCCCCCCACTCTCTCTCTCTCTCTCCCTCTCTCTCTCTCTCTCTCTCTCTCTCTCTCTCTCTCTCTCTGTTTATGATTGTATGTATATGTATATATAACAATAGGCCATCAACATTTATGTTAAATACTAATTACTTGGAACGGGCTTAGTATAAGTTGGAAAACTTATGCCCAATCCTTTATGTATATTTATATGCAATAAAATACGTTTAAATCAAAATGTATGTGAATGCCGAAGCTAATTTACTGAAATCCGTTTAATGAACCCAGACGGCATAAAGAAAATGATTCAATGTTCTGTAAACTTTTGAAGAAGATTTTGTTTGCATTTTCAATGCGTTGCAAAAGACATGGATGGGTTGACATGTTGGTACTTTTTAATTTTTTTATAGCCAGGTATGGGCTTATTGACGGATAACTAGGGTCTATAACAGATATAAGACTACATTGGATTAACTTGTCGAAGAATTCGATACGACACGACGCTAGAATTTAATAATTCAATATTCCTTACCACTGTCAGAATCATTTTACAAATCTAAAGATATTTGTTCGTCTGAAAACGTAGACATTTCTCATGTAAGACAGATAGGTCATGAATGTTTGTCGACCTGTTTTTGTTGTAAGCATGCTAGTTGTAAAGGCTTCACGGTGCACAAACATTGTTATGGATTGAAGACAACTGAAATAACACTCAATCTCAGCGAACTTTATTTCCCCGTTTTTGTGGGTGTATGCTGTACACGTGGTTATGAGACTTCTGTATTTAAGTACAACATAATAAACAGCCGGAATAATTTATGTGAAGATGTTTATTTTTTTCACTTGTCTAAAGCTTGTTTGTTTGTTGAAATTGTAATATCTAACCTCGGCTTGACCTAACATTGTTGTTTATCTAACAGTGAACGAACTTGCTACTGTACAATATGTCGATATATACATATATATATATGACAAAGGTTTGTAGGCAAATTCACATTAAGTGTGTTTTTGTGCCTGAAAAGGTCATTTATATCGCCTATAATTACCATAGCAAGGCCGATAATTAATTTTATTAACGCTGTCTTTTATATTTTACTGTCTTTAGCAGATCTGTAGTCAACAGTTATTTTAAAGGTAAATCTATCATACGTCGAACGGTCATTTTTGACAGCGTTATCGTACCCATTTCCATGGTTACTAGCATTACTTCATTAAGGATTGACGTAATTTACTTAAGTTTTGATAGGAAATATTTTAGTTTCATGCAGGTTTGAAAAAAATGATCATTTTGCAAATAAAAATAATTTGATATATTGTAACCCGTTCTTATATCAATGAATGACAGCGATCTACACACCAGGTGAATGTAAACGGATATTTCATTTAGACAAAAAAGAAGTTCCAACAGAAACGCCGCAAGGTGGCGTGTTGCTATTGACTCCTCCAATCATTATCCAGTGGGCGGAGCTACATGTTGTTTTCATCCAGAAATGAAAGAGAAAAAAAACCGGCGAATCAGAAAGCTACATTTTTCGTACAATCAATGAAAATTAATCATTTAAACATTTAAACCAGGTCTTTCACCGTTTCTATATTTGTAATAATTTCGGCATGTATTAGTTCCGTGGAAAAGGAAGGACGAGTGTTGTTCCTCCATGTAGTACACTTATTGAAGACTCTGTTATGCCTCGACCAGAGTACAAAACCCAAATTCTTCCTTACAGGAAAACTGAATCCAGTCCAATAACATAGTGGACATAGATATTAAACTACGTTTAGGTTAACGGCATTTCTTTCACTCGAGTTTTTTTTTTTCAAAAGTTACAAGAGTACGAGTTTTAGCGAGTGTTATTGTAATTTTTGGAAAATAACTGACGAGGGCGAAAGAAATAACACAAAACAAGACCATGGGTTTTTGTGACCTGTTTCTACCACAATAAAAAGGAATTCAAGAGTTGAATTGATCAGTTATGGACCCATGTTTGTTTTGTTGACGTCATCAGATGGGGGCGTAATGAGATAACATTGAGTGAAATGTTACTGATTAAATTGCAAACCTTAAAATAAAATAAAAAAAGAGAAACACTGAAAAATATTAAAACTCAAATCTAATTATAACCCGAAATAAAGTGGTTTGTTATCTTGAACGAAAAAGTGAAATAAATCGAAACGAATATCAGATTATTACATAACACAATGACGGAGTATTGATGGTGCATTTAAATTTCCATGAGTGCGTGAAGCGCCCTTTCGGTCAAGGTTGATCCAGTCAGCCAATCAAAACATTCTGAAATGTTCTACTACCTGTGGTATGAGATTGATCATGTGCATTAGTTGAAATGGTTAATTGATATCGAGGGTGTTGAAACCTTTAGTGGTTAAAATGGTAAAATTGAGGTAAAAAGCAAAGAGAGATAACATCGCGAATGAAATATGCCAAGTTTCAAAAGAAATTAGATTTTAAAAAAACTGGGACGAAATGATCGAATATCATACTCGTTGTTTGAGGTTCAGACCCCCTAACAGAAATGATAACGTATTGAGTCACCTGAATTTCCCAGTTCTCCAGTGCCTCCCACAGCGAGACCCTCCTCGCGCTTACATCCGGGTCATATTCATATTTTGGAATATCCAATATGTATTTCCATAAAATTGATTGTTTGAATTCTATCATATATCTACCGGATCGTCTGATACCCATTTTCATTCTCGCCGCATCAGCATCAATACTTTTATATTGTAAACAGCAGTCGGCCCTGATTCAGGCATATTGATACTGACAGCACAGGGAAAACCGTAGATAAGGTTTGATGTAAACAAAACCGTGTTTCCCGAGCTTGATCAACGTCGGCGAGAGCTCCAGCGGACTTGTGATACATCAGAATATAATGCCACTCTAAGTAGGGTTTTATTTTGGAGTATTGTGCTGTGAGAGGACTGGACCGGTGTCTTGAACATTGGTAATGTTATCTGTCTTATTAGTTATTTTTCTATTGACAATTTTTCTTTTTAGTTTCTTCCTGTGATGTGTGTTACATTGCATCCAATATTTCACTGTATCCATTGACGATATTGTATATAATTCTATGTTGTATTTACCTATATATCGTTAGTTTACCACATTGTAGTATAGGACACTATACTACCATATAAAGCCAGCTAGATGTCTCTTATATTCCAAATATGGCCGCCTGTCACGTTCAGTATCAATAGAAGTCACATATCCGAATATGGTAGAATTGAGTTAGTGACTTTCACGAAAATTCAAAGTAACTCATCTTAGCATAAACTATGGTTAAAGATGTTATTTTCTAAAACGTGAATTCCCTTGTTGGTCCCATGACATACATGGTCATCAAGTTTATCGGCATTGTCTGCTAATCGCCGATCTGACAATCACACAGGGAATACATTATAGGCAAAATGACTTTGTCTTCATTGTCACTTATAAACAGTAACGACTTCCATTTTAAAATGCCATGGTTATTCTGTTCTAAAACAAACCTAAATCCATGACACGGAAATGTACACATCACCGAAAACACTCTAGACATGTTGTTGATTTGAGCAATAGGATAGAGTATAATGAATCATTCCGCTGTATTCGGCATCCCAAGACTGCAGTTTGAGTAACCATGGCCGCGCCAAATTTATCATTGTTTTTTTTTTTTTTTTTTGTAAAATCCAGTATAAAAAGGTTGAAAGTCATTACATTTCGGCTACAATTTCAAGAAAAAAAAATGGAAAAGTTTAAATCATCTTTATTCACTGAACAAAGATGACACTCTGGTAAACTTTAAGACCATTTTGGATCTTCAACTTTTAATAAGGACTTAATCGTTTTGACATGCTGTTGAACATTTTCTAAAAGAGAAATGATACCGATGTCAGATGATGTTGAAATATACGTCATTTTATTTTGAAATAGATACTTCGAATTTAGATGTGAATCAACTGAAGATAAGATTTAAGCTAAACAGCGTCCTGCAACGACATTTGTTTTTCATCTTGAGTATTAAGAGGTGGTTCATTTGCCATAATGTAGATGCCCAAAGCACAGGCCTCAGACTGTGTGTGATAAGCAGTATTAAATAACCAGCCAATTAATTCTGTATCGGATGTGTAAACTATAGGACCATAATATAATGTCGATCTGATAACAGCTCTGAAAAGTCTTAACAAAACTTTCCTCTCTGCACCTGGACAGTATGGCAGATTAACAAAACTTTCCTCTCTGCACCTGACCAGTGTGGCAGATTAACACAACTTTCCCCTCTGCACATGGACAGTGTGGCAGATTAACAAAACTTTCCTCTCTGCACCTGGACAGTGTGGCAGATTAACACAACTTTCCCCTCTGCACCTGGACAGTGTGGCAGATTAACAAAACTTTCCTCTCTGCACCTGGACAGTGTGACAGATTAACAAAACTTTCCTCTCTGCACCTGACAGTGTGACAGATTAACAAAACTTTCCTCTCTGCACCTGGACAGTGTGGCAGATTAACAAAACTTTCCTCTCTGCACCTGGACAGTGTGGCAGATTAACAAAACTTTCCTCTCTGCACCTGACCAGTGTGACAGATTAACAAAACTTTCCTCTCTGCACCTGGACAGTGTGACAGATTAACAAAACTTTCCTCTCTGCACCTGGACAGTGTGGCAGATTAACACAACTTTCCTCTCTGCACCTGGACAGTGTGGCAGATTAACACAACTTTCCCCTCTGCACCTGGACAGTGTGACAGATTAACAAAACTTTCCTCTCTGCACCTGACCAGTGTGACAGATTAACAAAACTTTCCTCTCTGCACCTGGACAGTGTGGCAGATTAACAAAACTTTCCTCTCTGCACCTGACCAGTGTGACAGATTAACAAAACTTTCCTCTCTGCACCTGACCAGTGTGACAGATTAACAAAACTTTCTTCTCTGCACCTGGACAGTGTGACAGATTAACAAAACTTTCCTCTCTGCACCTGGACAGTGTGGCAGATTAACAAAACTTTCCCCTCTGCACCTGGACAGTGTGACAGATTAACAAAACTTTCCCCTCTGCACCTGGACAGTGTGACAGATTAACAAAACTTTCCTCTCTGCACCTGACCAGTGTGGCAGATTAACAAAACTTTCCTCTCTGCACCTGACCAGTGTTGCAGATTGCCATTAGAATATTAGGTGTTTAAGGCACCTAGCCTTAATGGTTGGTGGTATGAGGACGATGATAGCTCTCTGTCCGATAATGTCATAGAGATAATCATTCAGTGTAGATTTCAGCATTGCCGTCAAGAGGACCCTATCGCCACTACATCTTTGTGCAGAAGTCTTAGTGGCAAGAATAGAACACAAAAGGTATATAAGGGGGATACATATTGAGAATACAGCATTTCTAAATGTTCGGTATGCAAATGACACTGAACTGATACTGGATGGGTCTGAGAGGTCTGCGAGATAGTCAATCGTGATTTGAATGATTTTACATATATTCCTGGTGTCAATATCATTACAAGCCAATCACAAGTAGTTTTGATAGGGAGTAGAAGATTTAGTGACACTACATATTTGTCAGAACTTAATCTGCAGTGGGGGTAAAATTAAATTCTCATTCTTAGGTGTAGACTTCTCTGTAGATCTAAGTGAAATTCCAAAAACAAACACTGATAAAGAAATGTTAAACTTATGGCGTAGACGGCGTTTGACTCTATTTGGTAAGATAAATATCATGTTGAGTTGGTTGACTTGTTAAGACATCTGACCGTCTTTATCACTAGCCCTCCACCTCTGGGTCGCGGGTCCGAGGATGACGTGGGTCAGTCACCAGGAACTGGTCACAGGTCGGTAGATTTTCCCCGGGAACTTTCTTCCACCATCCAAACCTGGCACATCCTAAAATGACCCTGGCTGTTAATTACACGTAAAGTGATAATCACTAACTTTCAGATAAGGCTGCCTGTACGTAAATGTTATCACAGGGTCATTGGTGTGGTGACGTCGCGGCGTGGCCACATGCTAATAAATGTATGCCTTATCCGGATAGAAATATCCTGAAGTTATTGAATGTTAACAAAATCAAAATTTTATTTCTATTCTGTGTCCACATTAAGCTGAAATCTTATTTTGCATAACTCTTTCAAATCAAGCCTGTCTTTTGTAAGGCATACCCAATGTGTGTATACAATCATAATCCCCGAAATACGTAGATTATAGGGACACTCGGTACATCTCACCGACTTTTAACGATTTAGATTTTACAATATGGACGTCACAATGATTTCATAATAAAATATTCAACTTTCTTATGCTTGTTAGTATACATGTTGGTTCCGTTGTTGTATTCATTGTTCTCATTTGGGAACGTGACATTACTTTCTTGAGTTGACCACGATTTACATGCCGAGCGCCGTCGATGAAGCAGTAGACGCTTACTCTTCCGGCAAACCTGTTCTTATTGTCCTTAACTTTCTCTCTTGAGGCTCCGTGTAAATATCCCTTTTGTTAATATGATTCGAAGTTTTATTGAATATGAGTTAAGACTAAGTTTATGTTGACATAATGGTATTTTCTGTAACAACATGTTTACATTTGCAAGTCTTTTTTGCAACATGACATATTTTTGTTTTAATTTCTCATAAAATTCATTAACAGCTCGTTTCGAAGTTTTTTTTTCATTTATATCCGTCATTGTCAGTATAACAATTTCACGAGGGAGAGTGTGAAAGCCATAATACAATATCATGATTATGACATTTCAGTGTGATGACACTATTTCAATGTCCATCAGTAGCTAAATTCTGCGTTGACTCCGTTATTACATGACCCAGACTGTTGCGATGACACAAAACCCCAGAAACACAAACTAATCATCTTGTGTTGATAAAAGAGCTTAAGTCATCGTCCGAATCTGAACTTTTGTGATAAGACACTTGACGTCCAACCTGCTCAAATTATGTAAGAGCCCATTAGCGCTATGGAAGTCAGTTAATATGAATATATTTCAGAGTAATCCATATCAGGTTAGTCTCGCTGAAATATGAACAAACACTATTTGTCTCATTTCAAGCATCTCTAATGCATTGAAAACCAATTGAAGTTCATATGGACTTAAATTCTGCAGTTTTTCAGAAACAAATTATCTCATTGGCCCTTGATTTCGTCACGAAAAAAACCTACTCGTCTTTTAGAAGCACGGTCATACAATTTCGTTGGAAAACGTTACCCTGGAAACAAAAAGAATGAACGATTTTACAAAACATAAAAAAGGATGAAATATCAAACGCCTTCGTTTTAGGTTTTATGCCAAGAACACAATGCTCCACGTTAGAAATATCAGCTGATGTCGTATTTTCAGTGAATAATGCTGAATCTCAAGAGTATTAATTCACATGGATACGATACTGTAAATTTAAATGTGGCCGCTGTTTTTATTTTTGCTCTACATAAAACCCAAATAAAAAATCAAGATTTCTTAAGATACCTATTGCTTTCAAAAGTGATTGACTTCTTTGTTTGGCTTGTGGCTTTGGCAGACGACCACTAATATCCAATCAGATCTGGAATTCAATGGTGAGGTAAACACAATGTAAATCTATTAAGCAGGCCCAAACAATCTTGTACACAGCCTTATTTATGGGGGTCTCATGGATACAGACCTTCGGATAACAGTAGGATGGGGGATGCGATGGGGAAGGGGTAGAGGGTGGAGTGGGGAGAGGGGTTCCGGAATGAGAACCCGTTGTTGTAAAACGAGAATGAAATCTACCTCCAGATGAGCACACATTTTATTGTGAATTTCTTGCAGCTACTTAATTCATCTCTTAGTGGATTTCTGTAGGGGGAATATTTTCGATTTGACTTGAAATGATATAAACTGTATATTAACTTTCGTTTACAGGATTATACTTTGAACCATGGAGGGTTATATTCACCATGTTTCCAACAAATTATCGGAAATCCGAAGTGCAAAACAACCAGAAACGAAACCATTACAGTTCGGAGAACTAAAATTGTGGCCATTCTGGCGAGCCGTGTTGGCCGAATTCGTGGGAACCATGATGTTTGTATTCCTCGGATGCATGTCCACAATTCCTCTCCGTACACACACCCCACTGGACCATGACCCTGTCAAGGTACGTCAAACAATTTTCATACTGCAAAGGATTTTTTTCGGAGGATTATTTTTTTTTGCTGATACAGGCAGCAAAGATTTTTAGATCTTGGTATGATTATTTCTCCGTTTTCCCTTTCAATTTTACTCAATACTAACTTTCATGAGTATCTTCTTTAAAAACAAAAAATAGAGCCTCCCATCTAAAATAAAATGTACAGTTTGTCGGTGAAAAATAGAACCGCTCACTAAAAGAAAGAAAATATGCAGTATATCAGGTCAGGAAAAAAAGAGCCGCCCACCAAAAATAACGAAATCTACAGTATGTGAGTTAAAAATACGACCGTCCAGCAAAAGTAAGGAAATCTACAGTATGTCAATGAAAAATAGAACCGCCCGCCAAAAATAACAAAATCTACAGTATGTCGATGAAAATGGAATCGCCCACTGAAAATACGAAAATATGCAGAATATCAGGTCAGGAAAAATAGAGCCGCCCACCAAAAATAGCAAATGCTGTAGGATGTCAGTGAAAAATAGTTCCGCTCACCAAAAATTACGAATCTGTAGTGTGCCAGTGAAAAATAGAAGCGCCCACCAATAAAAACGAAATCTGCAGTATATCTGGAAAATTAAAATTAAAAAGTGAATCCATATGTTTCAAAAATACTTCCTGACAATGTGTAATAATATCTTTGTTGAGACTAAACCAAAAACATTAATTATTTCCTTCGGCTAAAATGACAGGTTTCAATATTTACCATTTCATTGTACGTAGTTCGGCCTATTGCGTATATGTCTTTCTGAAGATGTACACAACCGATCAATTATTTAAGGAACTTTCTCAGACAGTAAATTAGTTGCTAGGTTACCAAATCGCATAGCTCAAAACCCTTAATTACGCTTAAACAGTTTCTCTTTCATCATTAGTCGTCTCGAAAGACATCTATAGTTAACACAACTCTAGTAAAAGGTTGAGAATTGTCTCTTATTATCCAAGGTCACGCCAAATGTATCGATGATTATTTAAAAGGATGGCTTTCTATGTATACGAGGTGAGTGCAAGTGTTTAGTGAGTTAAGCTTCTTTGTAATAGTGTGGAGCTGAAACCGGCTTCAAAGTGCTATCACACCGAAATATACTGCCGATGAAGGCCCAAAGCAGAATACCCAACCCCGTCACATTTTACTGACGACGGGCGGAACATATCTATCATTCATATAATATTGGTTTGTTTGTTACGGCATGTAGACAGAAATCGTAGCCCAACGCCCCTGCCCCTCTCAACAATTATGCAAACGCTCAACTCAAAACGATTAAGGAAGTGACTTATATCTAAAAGCATTTTGTGTCTCATTAACAACCTTAATAGGATATTCCAACCTCGTGCATCTAATTTTCACTTAAGGTTGAGTCCAATGCTTTACCGAATGATGTACCGTCGTCCTTAAATTTGGAATAAGAATTTAAACATAATAATATAATATAAATGGCTGGTATATTGTACAAGCGTTTCCAGATTATATGACCTTTCAGTGTGACTACACTACAACCTACGTACCTCCCTTGGCACGATTTTGAATTAATGAGTTTGTTAGAAGGACGTTCAATCTCTAAGGAAAACATTTAATTCTGAGTCGTCTATGTTTAGAAGATTCCCAGTTATCTATCCGTATGACACTATAGAAAACACATTGTCTACCATATTGTTGAATTATAGATCGGCAGCATTGGTTGTTGTGCGTTTGTGTAAATATACAACAGTTTTGTAAACCAAATGAGGAAAAGGCCTGCAACTTCTTAAAAGGTTTGTTCTTTATGATCAGGTTGATTGATCACGTGTAAACCTAATTTACCTTCCACATGGAAACGAAGCGAGAAACCTTACATGAAGACTTTATATGACTGTATTCCATCGACTGTTGTCGTGTTACCTTGTTAACTAGACTTAGCAATAGACAGTCGATGACTGCCATGATCGATGAAACAAAATCGATGTAATAATTGGAGTGTTCTGGATTATGTTTGTCGTTCATCCGTTTACTTCTCTAATCATGTATTAACAGACAGGAGGAGTGTGCTCATTACAGTCACGTATTGTCTGTGTGTTTAAAACCTTGTTCTATTCTTTTGTATTAATTGCTTGTGTTTTAGATAAAAACATAAAAAATGTTTGATTAAAACTGTGATAAAGAAAATGCGACATATTTTTCATGGAAATCATTAAGACCTGTTTTGTCGTTCTCTATTTTTTTTAATTTTGATTTGATATTCAAGGTCCTGGCCCCAATAGCACGATTCGATATTCAAGGTCCTGGACCCAATATCACGATTCGATATTCAAGGTCCTGGACCCAATATCACGATTCGATATTCAAGGTCCTGGACCCAATATCACGATTCGATATTCAAGGTCCTGGACCCAATATCACGATTTGATATTCAAGGTCCTGGTCCCAATATCACGATATGATATTCTGGGGCCTGTTCCAAATATCACGATTCGATATTCAAGGCCCTGGTCCCAATATCACGATTCGATATTCCAGGTCCTGGTCCCAATATCACGATTCGATATTCAGGGGCCTGGTCCCAATATCATGATTCGATATTTCAGGTCCTGGTCCAAATATCACGATTCGATATTAAGGGGCCTGGTCCCAATATCACGATTCGATGTTCCAGGTCCTGGACCCAATATCACGATTCGATATTCAAGGTCCTGGACCCAATATCACAATTCGATATTCAAGGTCCTGGACCCAATATCACGATTCGATATTCAAGGTCCTGGTCCCAATATCACGATATGATATTTCAGGTCCTGGTCCCAATATCACGATTCGATATTCAGGGGCCTGGTCCCAATATCACAATTTGATATTCAGGGGTCTGGTCCCAATATCACGATTTGATATTCTGAGGCCTGGTCCCAATATCACGATTCGATATTCAGGGGCCTGGTCCCAATATCACAATTCGATATTCAAGGCCCTGGTCCCAATATCACGATTCGATATTCAGGGGCCTGGTCCCAATATCACAATTCGATATTCAAGGCCCTGGTCCCAATATCACGATTCGATATTCAGGGGCCTGGTCTCAATATCACGATTCGATGTTCCAGGTCCTGGTCCCAGTATCACGATCCGATATTCAGGGGCCTGGTCCCAATATCACAATATGATATTCAAGGTCCCGGTACCAATATCACGATTCGATATTCAAGTTCTTGGTCACAGTATTACGATTGCATACTCAAGGGCCCGGTCGAAATATCGATTCGATATTCAAGGAGCTGGCTCCAATATCATGATTCGATATAGGTCATGTGATCTTTTTATCACATATTTTGGCCTTTCAATAGCATATTCTGGTATATCTATAGCACATCCTGATCTATCTATAACACATTCTGACCGTTCTATAGCACATTCTGACCGTTCTATAGCACACTCTGATCGTTGTATAACACATTCTGACCGTTCTATAGCACATTCTGACCGTTCTATAGCACATTCTGACCGTTCTATAGCACATTCTGACCGTTCTATAGCACATTCTGACCGTTCTATAGCACATTCTGATCGTTGTATAACACATTCTGACCGTTCTATAGCACATTCTGATCGTTGTATAGCACATTCTGACCGTTCTATAGCACATTCTGACCGTTCTATAGCACATTCTGACCGTTCTATAACACATTCTGACCGTTCTATAACACATTCTGACCGTTCTATAGCACATTCTGACCGTTCTATAACACATTCTGACCGTTCTATAGCTCATTCTGATCGTTCTATAGCACATTCTGATCGTTCTATAGCACATTCTGATCTATCTATAACACATTCTGACCGTTCTATAACACATTCTGACCGTTCTATAACACATTCTGACCGTTCTATAGCACATTCTGACCGTTCTATAACACATTCTGACCGTTCTATAACACATTCTGATCGTTCTATAACACATTCTGACCGTTCTATAACACATTCTGACCGTTCTATAACACATTCTGACCGTTCTATAGCACATTCTGACCGTTCTATAGCACATTCTGACCGTTCTATAGCTCATTCTGATCGTTCTATAGCTCATTCTGATCGTTCTATAGCACATTCTGACCGTTCTATAGCACATTCTGACCGTTCTATAGCACATTCTGACCGTTCTATAACACATTCTGACCGTTCTATAACACATTCTGACCGTTCTATAACACATTCTGACCGTTCTATAACACATTCTGACCGTTCTATAACACATTCTGACCGTTCTATAACACATTCTGATCGTTCTATAACACATTCTGACCGTTCTATAACACATTCTGATCGTTCTATAACACATTCTGACCGTTATCTATAACACATTCTGACCGTTCTATAGCTCATTCTGACCGTTCTATAACACATTCTGACCGTTCTATAACACATTCTGACCGTTCTATAACACATTCTGACCGTTCTATAACACATTCTGACCGTTCTATAACACATTCTGACCGTTCTATAACACATTCTGACCGTTCTATAGCTCATTCTGACCGTTCTATAGCACATTCTGACCGTTCTATAACACATTCTGACCGTTCTATAACACATTCTGACCGTTCTATAGCACATTCTGACCGTTCTATAACACATTCTGACCGTTCTATAGCTCATTCTGATCTATCTATAACACATTCTGATCGTTCTATAACACATTCTGACCGTTCTATAGCACATTCTGACCGTTCTATAACACATTCTGACCGTTCTATAACACATTCTGATAACACGTTCTATAACACATTCTGACCGTTCTATAACACATTCTGACCGTTCTATAGCACATTCTGACCGTTCTATAACACATTCTGACCGTTCTATAACACATTCTGACCGTTCTATAACACATTCTGATCGTTCTATAACACATTCTGACCGTTCTATAACACATTCTGATCGTTCTATAACACATTCTGATCTATCTATAGCACATTCTGACCGTTCTATAACACATTCTGAC